TCTGCTCTACCCGCGATACGCAAAACTGAGTACAAACCGGTTGAATATGTAGTGTATGAACCGGTCGATTCTAGATCAAAACAAGGAGCGTCGACAGTTTTTAGGCCTTATCTGCTTCAATGACGCACCGGAGACCTCACCACTGCTCGCGAACGCGACGCGGTGTGGACGAAATAAGCCGTCTTGGTTGGACCGGAGCTCAGTATATCGTACTATCCACACCGACTGTGGTTCTTATTCCGGAATACCGACGAGACCTCAAGGCTTGAGCACTTGCTCAGATTGGAATAGCTCTTGGTTAGGCACGAACTTCATACATCTTCACACATGCAGCTACTGTGACACCTAGCGGGCCGGCTTTTATGCGGCCAGAGGCACATAAGATGGATCATATCCCCTTCTGGTACGATCTGGAGGTGATGAGAGGACGAATTTGGGGTTGATGGAGAACACTAAGCTCTCGTCTGTGCAAGACATGTGCGCCTGTCGGGGATTCCCAATGCCAAAAAAGGGATAGTTCGTAAGCAGCGGTGAGTGGCATTTTCGACCAACCAGCTTCGGAATCTTCGATCCTAGTATGGAGTACTATGGCAGATAGTCAAATACGAAACCACCATTTCTGCCCAAAGGGATGAAAAATCAGGGCGCCATGGAGCCATCGACATTTGAATATGTCGATTTTCGAGATGATCCTAAGCCTGCTCGGGCGAGCTTGTCCAAAGAGTTCAGCTGCTCACTGCTCACTGCGATTGTTTATGTGTTTATGCTGCTGATGTGGACGTGTTCGGAAGATGATAACGGCCACCGGGTCTATTTAGCGGCCTACGTACTTTGCAGCCGTTTCTCAGATCTAACTTTTCATCGGACACCTGCAGCTTCATGGCGACTCGCCAGTAAGATGCCGTCCGACTCCACTAGCCACATGCGCCATTACGTTCAACCACCAGGACCCCGATAATCGCTTGTAGTAGTATGCCTAAAAGGGGGAGAATAATGAGTCACATCCATGTAAAAAAAAATCTTGTCACATTAGGGAAGAGCGACGTTGATGTTCTTTTGCTGTCTTCGTGCAATTGCTATTTCATTCTGCCAAGTTGAACTGAAGTTTGTGTTTGTTCTAAAGGAATATCATGCTAGGACTCAGCCAACATGGCGGTGTAGTTCCGATAGTTCGGGAAAGTCTACGCAGACTTGTAATTCAGACTAGGAAGCTTCTTTGAGAGTAATGTAGTTGAATCCTTCCTGCGCATTTCAACCACTTATCTCCCTCGAACTTGAGCATTCTGAAACGAATTTCTCGTCCGACTCGAACACCTGAAATAGCGTTTTTCTCCACTTCGCGTTACGTAGTGCAAAGTGGAGTTCTGAGGCTGCGCGTCGAAGCAAATTCCGAGATCAAACGGTACGCAGCAGGCTGTCATCCTGTACCTTGCACTGGAGGTACTTGTGTGATACGGCTGTAGTAGTACGAAGCCGCAAGAAGCCGCAAACTACTATGGCAAATTCGTAACAATATCTCGCGATCCCGAGCGGAGAATATGGATCGCGACGGTGGCGACATATATTTAGTTAGTTGAGGCGGTGAGTGGCTTTGTAGCCAGATCGAATCCGTCTCCTCGGCATCGACCCGCGGTGGACTCTCCATCGATTCGATGGCGTGAGTATCCCTGGACTGATAGCCGTAATAATCTCGAACCTAGCAATAACAGAAGGGTAGTTGCCGAGAATTTCAGGTTTAAGTGACGTACGCTCCGAGACTATCCTGGACGTCAAAGCAGCGATCATTGGAAGTCCCAGAGTTTCGCCAGAAGATTGTCCTCTACCCCCGAGTCTAGATCCTGAGGAAGGAACACTTTTTTGGGTATCATAAACTCCACAACAGGGGCCTTTTTGACTTGCTTGGATAACTCCGCGTCAAGTAGCTAGAAATATGTAAGCAAAACAAAAACTAGTATGTGGGACGGTGGCACATGTGACTTACGCTGCTATACGAATGGTCTAAGAAATCCTCGAGGTTGTAGGACTGCTTAGTGAATTGCTCCGATACTATTTTCGCGATAGTCGCAACGTTCGGGTGGTAGTGTGACTGCAGCTGAACGACCTCCCATAAGCAGCTATCGATGGCGCAAGTCTCCATTGGGTCTTCTTCGTCAGCAATGAACGGGTCAGCCATCCCTTCATTTTCCAGTGCCTCCTTCTCTTCTGGTGACCTAGGCACGCGATGCATCATGAACGTGCAAAGCGGGTGTTTTTTGAATAGATTATAAATCCAGGGTATGACCACAACTATAGCGGCAGGGGGGGCGCTGAGGCACAGCCTCGTAATTCGCTTGATGAAACTTGCGACAAGGGCGGCGGGAAGATGCGTAGAAGAGAGGAACGTGTCCAACAGCCGAAAGAACCTGGACCGATGTTTCGAATGTAGGATATTTGCATCTAATAATGAGTACAACTTCCGATAAAACGACGGGTAGTCCAGATTCCGCTCTTGTATGAGATAGAAGACTCCTGATAGAGCTAACAGAGAGACCGCGCCTCCGGAGTTATACGAATCTGTCAGGAAGTCCATCAGAAGCTCTGGCTTGGTAAACCACGGAGCAATGGACTTGGTCATGATTTGAAGCACCTTTTTCCTTTGCTCCCGGTTGAGGCCTAGGTCAAGCAGTGCTATCCAGGCTTCTTGAGCTTGTTTCTTCTGTTGGTTCAGGGATGCGACGGGATGCGACTTCTTTTTAGGCGCATCAATATAGAACTCACCCATTTCTTCAGCGGAAGCAGGAACATCTTCAAAGAAGGACAACAAGTCAAACACGTTATCAAATAGTGTTTCGTTAGAGGATATTAAAGGCTCCCCAGAAAGAATATCCCTGTAAATAGGTTAGTACTACACACATATCAAACAGGAGTCCACTACGTACTTCAAGGCTTTGAACGTGTAAAATCGTATATCCGCATATTCGCCCAGAAACTTCTCGCAGAATTCTTCTCTAATATCTTCAGATTCGCTTAGGATAAGCGCTTCCACCACTTCTTTGAGGAAACCCTTCGGAAAGCTGTATTCATCCTTGTCGTTCGTGTGTTTGCCTTCAGCTTGCAAGATGCGCATAGCTAGAGTCAACGCAGTAGACGCGGTGTCTTCTTGGCCTAATTCTGAGAGGATGATCTGCTTGAGGTCTCCGAGTCTTTTTTTAAGCCATTGAACGACCACGATATCTTTTTCTGACTGTCCATTCCGTCTCGCTAGATTTCCTGATGCAAACAGACGTAGAAATACTCTGCACAACGATACCACGGCAAGTTGGGTAGAGTCATCGTCGCCGCCTTTTTGCGCGAGGTCAAGAAGAATCGTTATGTTATTGTAATTCTTCTTGGATTCCAGGATCTCGTTTTCGAGTTGCAAGATCTCAGCTTGGGGATCATGTTCGTCGCGTTCGTCATTGTCCTTTGGTTTGGCTCGTTTATTTGCCTTTTCAGGAACTTTTGATCGCTTCCTCTTCAAGGACTCCTCAGTAACGGGTCCTGACATTTTCGCGTAGTTATGTAGTTGAATTATATAACTAGGCGTTGCAGGTGTTTGAATAATGAAGAAATGATAAAAAAAAAGTTTAATTGCTAACAGCCTTGAGAAGGAACAATGCAAGGCTGACCCAAAAGTGCCAGAATTGAGTTTGAAGTGGGGAAGAATGTATAAATCACGTGCCTACTTGACCAATCACGGAAGTCGGTTGAAACTGGGTTGAGGGTTCAAGGTTCAAATTGGGTTAAGTGCAAGTTCGTTAAAACCTCATCGACTTCAATTCCGAAGCTCCTCCAGACAAGCAATAATTATTCCCATCTCCTCTCACCCGAATCTCGTTTTCTCTTGTCATCCAATTTCGCAATGGCCTCCCGCTTGGCTACCCGTGCCTTCGGTAAGTTTTCGCATTACTATTAGCATGCTAATCAGGCCATGTAAAACTTATCGCGAATTGTAGGAGCCGCCCGTCTACGGCCGTCGGTCCCTTCGCGAACTCTTCCCGCAGTCACCACCGCATTGACTTCTACCCGACCGGCATCCAACGTTCCCGAACCTAAGGTAAAGGCACAGTCTATCATTGACTCTCTACCTGGAAACTCCATCGTTTCTAAGACCGCCATCCTGTCCTCCGCCGCCGGCCTGTCTATCTACGCCATTAGCAATGAGTACTACGTCGTGAACGAGGAAACCGTTGTCGCCTTCTGCTTGCTCAGCGTTTGGGGTGCTTTGATCAAGTATGGTGGTCCCATGTACAAGCAATGGGCCGAGGCACAGAACGAGAAGATCAAGAACATCTTGAACGCCGCCCGTGCCGACCACACCCAGGCTGTCAAGAACCGCATCGAGAACGTTCAGCAGATGGGAAGTGTTGTCGACATCACCAAGGCTCTCTTCGAGGTTTCGAAGGAGACTGCTAAGCTCGAGGCCCAAGCGTATGAGCTCGAGCAGTCTACTGCTCTGGCAGCCGAGGCCAAGTCAGTTTTGGATTCGTGGGTACGATACGAAGGCCAGGTCAAGCAACGCCAGCAGAGGGAACTAGCCGAGTCGATTATTGCCAAGGTGAAGAAGGAGCTCGAGAACCCTAAGGCTCTTCAACAAATCCTGCAACAGAGCGTTGCCGACGTAGAGAGTAAGTGTTTTTTTTAACTGCTAGTCTTATAGCACAAGCTAACAAGTTTCCAGGAATTGTGTCCTCTAAGGCCCAATAGACAAGTCAGTTTAGACAGATACTCCATGGCGCAGACAAAGATCTCTTTTGTCCCCCCCTGTGTTTATAAACACCTTGTGCATTAGTCAAAAAGAAACTATTCTTCCAATACTGGCTCTGCAACGTTTTGTGATACCTAATATGGTAGTCCTGCATACCGGCATGGTGCGGGAGCTTAGAAAATATTTGAACATAGATTACGATAATGGAAGAATCATCTGCTCTCGTGTAACGGATATTAGTGAAGATGGGCTAGTTGTTTAATTTTTAAGCTACCCCTAAGAATCAGCCTTGTGTTCTAGACTCCTTTCATTCGAATCTCGCTTAGTGTCCTTGACTTCGTCTCTTCTATGAGATAAGCGTGAATTAATCTCTATACACGAATGTGCCATTGCCAGGTAGAATCATTGGATTGCCCTCTGTAGCTTGTTGAGATCGTAGCTATGGGACTTGGATCATGACGAATACCTTGTGTAGGGATACATGCCATGTAACTAGACGGTAGCTTACATAGCTCAATCCCTACCTAAGTTGTATTCACCCGTCTTTCCCTTCCCACTTCTCCAGAAGGCTAACTTTCCATTCCTTGAATTGACGATCACTTTGGGGCAATAGGAAGTTGTTACTGTCTAGGATATCCTTTACCTTTTCGATTGCCTCGGCCGGTAGGGTAATGTCTTGTACATCTGACATCATAGAGTCGAGTAATTTGTCTGCTTCATCCTGACTAACCATGCGATAAAACACCTTTATAGCCTTCATCGGTGACCTTCCCTCCCTTGTGGACGAAAAGGAGATGTTGTTGAATACCCAGATGTTTATTAGAGACTGGGATGTACCGTTTACTTGAGAAACATCCTGCATTGGCTGGTCTTTCAGTTTCATTGGCAACAAGATGGATTTTGAACAGCCGGAGCGGGCTATCGTCGCGAGGAGAATAGAGCTGACCCAGTGAAACAGGTTAGGCGAGTTATCAGGGCCTCGCGGGATCTGCTCATCCACGTAGACCTGCCACTTGAACAGAGTAACGGCGGCTCCCAGTTCATTCAGGATCCCTAGCTGATTCTTACAGGATACACAGGAAATGGATATGTTTTCTGGATGTAAATTGCGTGGTTCTCCATTTTCAGGTGTCTCATTACGGTGTTCTGATTCATTGCGTGACTCTAATAAGGATGGAACTTTTGTTATCTAAAGAAGCTTGCATTAGCAAAACTTCTGAGGAGACACTTGACAAAAACGTTTAATATATACCTAGCTAAGAAGCGCAAGATATGTACCTCTAGCTAATCCCAGAATTACCACGTCCAAGGAAATTCTTAGTGAAAAACAGAGGGATCCTCTAATACATCAATGCCAAATCCCTAGGGCAAGACCTCGGATTCGGCACTAACATACCAGGATAGGAAAGTATGTTATTCTAGGGTAAGAGTATCGGTAACCATGCCACTGAGCAGCAAAAACGCCGGCCTGGCCACCTTCTATATACCCATTTCAAGCAGTTAATAAGAAAGAAAATACTTACGACTGACGCAGAAATATCCGTCTCTGATAGTAGAAAGGAAGAGAGATCCACAAACCCGACACCTGCTTGGGCAGATATCCTAGAATTCGCGCCATATGCTTTAGAAGCAAGACCATCATCATGTTCGTGTCCGTGATCATGAGGTTTATGGCAATGCCAGAATTCCATCATTTCAGCCCAGTTCTCGCTAGGCAAATCTTTCCATACTTTGGTTACACCAGGCTCAACAATGGTAGCGTGGCATCTTCGACACGTAATGCGTGATTCTGGTTGAAGATCAGTCGCGGACCACGGGACTGTTTGTTCTCCCGGTGTGGAAAAGGCATGACGCTCTAGACTTGAGGCAAGAGGTAATCGACAGGAAAGATGTTTCTTGCCAATACTCTGTATTGGTAGTTGCTTAACTGAGACAACCTGTCCAGGGAGACGTATGCAAGTCTGTATGCCATCGTGGTGAATTGTGAAGAACCAACCATCAGATGAGACGGTGGCTCTGGTATCAGGTGAGCTTGGTGTATACAGCTCGCATCCCACAGATACCCCTTGTATACGCGACAGGAGTTCGGCGTATATAAGAACCGGGTGCGATCCATTCATTTTGCATACGAGGAAATGGTTGAAACCTGAAAAGATGGTTGGACGCGATACATTTTGTAGTATTTCGGTGATGCACAGACCAACATTAACATTAAAGACGACTGCGGACAACAATGGCTCGTACTTTTTCCTTGGCGCATTATTTAGCTAAAGCATTTTAGCCTTATTTAATACCCCTCTTGATTGTATAATACGTCTCTAAAATGCAATATTGGGATTGACTGCCTTTCATTTCAATGCATATATACATATAATAACATCTTTAAACATCTTTAGATCATGCGAGTGGCATTTTCCATTGTTACGTCACTTCAATTTCAACCACTTTGGCCTTCAGACAGTTGATTATCGTGATGCTCTAATTTAAGATCCAATATGGCTTCTGTACTTTCTTACGTTCCTATCGTGAACCGACTCGTCTCTAATACAGGTCGGACTCGGACCGTTGACATCCCACCTGTTGAGGTTCACAATGTGGAGACGGCACCTGAGAAACGACCAAGAACCCTTAAGCATCTATTGAGGGCAAACCACGTTAATCATTCCATTATCTACCACAATTTGGAGTTTCACAATCATCTGCCCCATATCCTCGGGTCTGCTTATATCCTTGGAGCCGATGTTCAGCAATTGCATAAGATCTACGATGTAGAGGCACAAGAACTTGAGTCGTGGAAAGAATCGCCGGCTGAAATAGCCCAGGAGGACTGGAGAGACTTTCTCGGAGAACCGGAGTACCAGCGTGCCTATGTCGATTTCTTCGAGGATTCTCTAGCATTGAGGCACAATTACCAGTGGAAAGGTGTAGTGGAAGAGTACATATATGGGGGCAAGGAGCCCTTAGTAAACTGCCTCATCGGAGGCCGTATGTTCAACCCCTAAAACTTCATATGGACATAAACTAACCCTTATTAGTTGGGCACCCTCTCATTCATCTAGGATATGCTTATGAGGTAGACAGCCGCGAAGTTGCCATGGAGGCCCTTGGCATGGCGGCTACGCAATACAACTTCCTTCATAAGTACATTGACGACGCTTCGTATTCGAAGCCATCTTCGATCAAGCCGTCTTCGCCCTTGGAACTGCTCCTAAAACTAAGGAGTGATAATCGTCTAGACGGAGCCTTCGAGGAACCAGGACCTGACAACATTAAGCCGCTATTCAAGAAGCACGAGGATATTGTTCTGGAGTACTGGAACGCATGGACACTCGATGATCCGGTAAAAGACTTTGAACAATCACAGGAGGCTGCGGTTGCTATCCTGATTGCCACAGTCCCGCCCGGAACTCATTCATACAACTTCTTCCTTTGTCATGTGCTAACGACGAGTCATGCCGTCAGGATACTGCTTCCATTCATCCCATCGGAATTTCGCATCAACTTAGTTAGGCAATGGTGGCTATTCGCAATCACCGTCTATATCGCTGAACTCCGCCCGATAATTGATCCCGATTACATCAAGCCGGAAGATGTTGCTGGGAAGCAATGGAATTATGTGGAAGACAAGGCATTAAATGGATCTTATGCCACTGACGCTCATTTTGTCAAGGGTAAGACTCTGAACGATTCCGATGTAGGTTACCAAGGGACTAACTCGCTGTATAGTTGTGCGTGCTATTAAAGAAGCGGCTCGGACTTGGGGCGACGTACATGAACGTTATTTAGCTGCAGCCGTCCGGTTTGCCGATGATTTTCAGGGATGGACCTTTTCATAGTGTTAGGTCTCTTGATATCTATGTTGTAATACGAGCTGTGAAATATATATGAATTATGAGGATATTTGGACAAAATTGATCTCCGAGCTAGCATTGTTATTATTGTCAATTATGCATGGTTAGGCATCTCACACATATGAGACTATTTTAGAACGTAATGATCTAAAGTAAAATGGAAACCCATGATTATTAAAGCGTACATATGTGGTTAATCATTTAAGAAGAAAAATAAAAGGTATAAATATTACTAGACTGTATCACGAATGTACTGAGGCCGACTTACATGTGAGAATAAATAGAGGTACTTAGAGGTACGTATCAGGTAGCGTAATGCAGGTTTAATTGATCACATGATGGCGCATCGAAGTTACAGCGGGCTAGATTGCCGGGAGACGCGCCATAAGCAACCGGCCCGCGACGAAAGGTTCCATTAGGCTGGGAATGATGGAAGGTACCTAAGTTTCAACTCAGTCGTGCCGTCTGTTTGTCCATGACGGCCACCACATCAGTTCTTTCCTGGATTCTTTCCTGGACATTAAAGTTTTGAAAGTCAAATCGCCGCAGCCGAGCGAAAAAATAAAAATAAAAATAAAAATAAGTTAAAACATCATATTACGAATCTTCATTATTCGGTTGCCTTCTCCATGTGAGCAATTACGCCTACTGGCAGATGCCGTGCATCTCACATCCACCCTATCGCCATGGCGCCACCCACAAAACGTCGGAAGCGAAACATCGTACATGCCTCTTCAGACGATGATGAGGAGCCAAAGTCGAAGCCTAACACCCTTACCAATTACCTCCTTTCCTCGCCTACTCAAAAATGCGCCTCTGCTACAGATGCCTCCCGGGCTACAACACCCTCGCCAGGCCCTGCAAGGAATTCGTCTCGCTTGCTAGCCACTCAACCGTCGAGCTCGACTTCGGCTCCTATGCCTCTCCACCAAAGGAACAATGGATTCAGGGGTTTTAGTACGAGCCCGGGGAAGCCCAAGGCCCAGTCACTTGCAAAAGGGAAACGAGTGGAGAAAGAGAAGACGGCGGATCTTGTGACTATGTTTTCTAGACAGGCTCAAAGGGTCCCGACGGCGTCTCCGACCAAGAGAGACGATATTATTAGCGATCCAATATCAGACGATGACGATGTAGGTGAATACAGGGCGGCAAACACCAGTCGAGTCGGACAGAACGCCCGTAAGCGTTTTCGGGATACGCCCCAACCGGCTGGCGGCCCGGCAATTACATCGAGTCAAAAATTCCTCAAACCACCCCGCCCTCAACAGGACCCAACTACGGGCGATGAGCAACGGCCCTGGTCGGAACGGTTCGGCCCTACGAATATAGAAGAGCTTGCAGTTCACAAAAGGAAAGTAGCAGATGTTCGCCGGTGGCTTGAAGATGTCATGGCCGGCCGGATGCGACAGCGTCTTTTAATTCTGAAGGGCGCTGCGGGAACAGGCAAGACAACCACGGTTCGACTCCTTGCTAAGGACATGCGCTGTGAACTACTCGAATGGAGAAACCCCGTCGGCTCCCTAGGCGCAAATCAGGGGCTCCAGTCAGCTTCGGCGCAGTTTGAAGAATTCATGGGGAGGGGTGGAAAATTCGGCCAATTAGACACTGATCTTGACTCGACTCCCCAGAGTCTCGGTAAGAACGATAATAATGATAATAATGCGAAGAAAATCATCCTCATTGAGGAATTCCCAAACACTTTTACACGTTCGTCAGTGGCTTTGACGACCTTTCGAAATACTATTTTGCAGTACCTGGCTGCTAATACGCCATCTCTCGCTACTTATGGTCGGCCAACTTCCGTAGATCCTATCACGCCTATCGTTATGATCATATCGGAGACTCTACTAACTACTACCTCGGCGTCTGCGGATAGCTTTACGGCCTATCGCTTGCTGGGACCTGAAATCACTCGACATCCGGGCTCTTGTATTATAGAGTTTAATGCTATTGCGCCTACTCTCCTTGCAAGCGCGCTCGAGTTAATTGTACAGAAAGAGGCGCGGAAGTCTGGACGGCGTCGGACGCCAGGCCCACTTGTTCTAAAGAGGCTGGGCGAAATAGGGGATATAAGAAGCGCAATCTCCTCGCTTGAGTTTCTTTGCCTCAAAGGTGACGACGATGCGGACTGGGGCTCAAAGGTAGCCTTCACAAAACCTAAACGCGGATCTAAGAACGAAGTATCCTTGACCAAAGGTGAGGTGGAAAGTCTAGAGCTTGTCTCGCAACGCGAAGCAAGTTTAGGAATATTTCATGCTGTCGGAAAGGTAGTATATAACAGAAGAGATGAGCGACCGATGAGCCAGCAAACTCTCGAGGGTCGGGCTGAAATATTACCTGACTTTATAGCTCATCATTCTAGGCCAAAACGGTCCGAGGTCTCTGTTGATAGCCTCATTGATGAAACTGGGACTGATACGCACACATTTATTTCAGCGCTTCATGAGAATTACGCCCTGTCCTGTGAACCTAGTGGGCCTTCCGATCCAAATTCTCCACTTGACTACATAAACAATTGCATCGAGTTCCTTTCCGAGAGCGATCTACTTTCCCCATCTTGGGACATCTTCTTCCGGGGCCGAGGGTTTGGCGCTTCGACATTCTCAGGACGAGATTCGGCTAGCCACGTGCTAAGACAAGATGAGATTACTTTTCAGGTCGCAACCAGAGGATTGCTATTCTCTCTACCCAATCCGGTGAAGCGAATCTCGAAAACCTCCGGGCGCGGTGGTAGTGATGCTTACAAGATGTTCTATCCTGCAAGTCTCAAGCTATGGCGAGAGAAGGAAGAGGCTGAAGGAGTCATAGACCACTGGGCATCGAGATTGCTAAAAGGGGACGAGACTGGTCAGAATCTCACCCAAGGTGCTTCTGCATTTAGACGTCCTAAGTCAGCGGTAAGCGGCGGCGGAGATTGGATCGGTAAACACCAGGCTTCTATGCAACGCAATAGTAGCCAACAAGCCAAAAAAGCCGAACAGAGTCAGGACCAACAGGCAGCCCCATTGCTCTTCCTTGGGAACTCAGCTCGTAGGGAATTGTTACTGGAACGACTGCCATATATGGCCCACATAGCACGAGGACGTAGAAGCGCAGTAGGTAATGTTCGGTTAAAGGAGATTGAAAAGGTGACCTCGTTTTCCGGAATTGGAGAGGCAGCGGACGACGACGCCCTCGACGGAGATGATAATATGGAGCAGTCGGGAGAAGCATGGGCAACTGACAAGCCTACTGAAGAATCATCACCACGAAAGAAGCGCGTCGCCTTTGGCATACGGCAGAAGAGCGATGTGCCTTCCCTTTCTATCGCGGCAATACCTTCCATACAGAAATTGGTTCTAAGCGATGATGATATAGAGGACGATTAATCCGCCCACTTGATTTTGTCCCATCCTCAAATATTCTACGCAGGATATAGCTCACACGATGCTTCACAGGCTCAGATGTCTTGAAATAATGGCTATTCTCTCAGGTTAGGCTATGCGTGCAGGTGGAGTGGACGGCGTTTTGGTGTTGCGCGTGGAAAGGGTAGGGATGTGTATGTCTATATACCTAATGTATATAGGATTGGGAATTAGGGTCACTGCTGTCGAAGATCAGGGGAGTTTGTGTATGAAGAGCGTGCCGTCCAGCTGCGGGGCGGGGACAAATCGCATTCTACTAGAGCATGTGTCTCAAGTGTATAAACAGTGTTTTTGACTGGTCTGATGTGCTTGTTTTCCCTGATAGCTATCCTAGCTGGTGTGATTGTTGGATCTTGTTGGAATATAGGTCTGTATTTGTTCATAAAAAGAGTGATAGGTCCTGGGATGCTGGGCATAGCTAACTGTGAACTCGGCCGGGTTGTTGCGTCGTATTCTGCTATTCGCCCGGATTCTACTTATACGTATACGCGACGGGCCGTATAGATCGCGATGTCTTATGCGAAGAGATCGATCGGGTCCGTCTCTTAGGTGCTCCTTGGCGTTACCTAGGTGGATTCCCGAACAAGCTGAGGCTTTGTGTAAAGAGTTGTCGTACTGTAATATATTATATACCTACCTAGGTAGGTAGGTATAGCTGATCTTAAGCACACCAGTCAAGGAGAATAGTATAAGAGTGTTTCTAACCCAGACGTAGTAACTAACTATGGTCCATATAACTATAGCTTTGTTAGTCCTACTCCTATGTGTTAGTTACGTGACATCTCCATGCCTTTCTTAAATCCCTACTTCTCTAACCTAATACAATCTAATAACTTTCGAGAGCGTTTATCTATTACGAATATCAACTATCAACTACCAACCACCGTTCCTAGAGCAAACTTCATATCCAATTTCAAACAGAGAATATCAACCCATGAAAGCCAAGGAAGCATCATCACCCTCAACACCCATCTTTAGAATCCGTGTCCTCGACGCCGTCATCGACGTGCCATTTAAACACCACCATATGATAGAGGGACCTATAATAGGAGATGCAGGAGGACCAGCTCTCTCCCAGCAACCGGAACATTCTCCATCCTCACCGAATAACAACAGCATACTCAACACAACCACCACCATTACTACCACTAACAACATAAACCACGCTATCTCACCGCCGCCCTCTTCGCCACGCACCAACCGCTCCCAAGGCGAATTCCTAGCCCTCCTCATACTACTGCCCGCGCAGCGGTATTCCTCATCACCAACACCCTCCTTTGATTCAGCCGATTACTTTGATTGTGAAGGAGATGTAGGTAGATATGAGAGAAGATTACCCTAGCTGCAACATTAGTAGTGGTAGTAGTAAGATATAGGATGACAACCGATCAGCATTAACGAGAAACAAGTTAGAGGAGGATAGTCGTCACGGAGAAAATGTAGTTATGAGAGCAATGTAGAAAGATGATGGTAGCGGCTGGGGATAGACATAACAGTATTGTGTCATTTATTATTATTATAAGAATAAGATGACAGGGCTTTCTATAGATGATGGTCATGTCGAATCATTGAAGTGTCAACTGTAGTGATGGACATGTTGCTCCTGAACAGACGGAACACGACGCCCCGTCAAACTGTACATCAAGAGCATAAAGTATAGGTTATCGTCACCAAATAATAAATATTCACAAAATCCGAATATCAGTAGAGGTACGACAAATTGGTATCTTTATTTTTGTCCCTTTGGACGTATTGCCGTGTTGAATAAATGCAATGCGGATGTTTAAGGTATTTATCCGCCTTTACCAGACCGGTGACCCCATAGATGCCACTTTATCTGTGCCTTTGCCCAAACCAGGTATGTTGAAACCGTACGCCATGCTGCCATGCCCAAAATTTTCATGACATTTTCCGATGAGGGAATCCTATGTCTTCTAGATAACACACCCAACAACGCCAGTCGCAATGCAGAAAGAAGTTGATTCTTCCGCTACTATAAATGTGACAAGATCCCCCCAGCGGAACTCTACAATTCATTAGCTTAGAACTTGAGCGCCTTGGGCTGCTCCCAGGTGAATTCCTGGTTGGTACCGAAGTGACCGAACTTGGCTGTTTGGTTGTAGATGGGGCGGATTAGGTTAAGTTCCTTGGCGATAGCGCCAGGTCGGAGGTCAAAGTTAGCCTTGACGATGTCGACTAATTCCTCGGCAGTCTTGTCAGAGGTGCCGTAGGAGTCGACGTAGATAGAGCAGGGCTCGGCTACACCAATAGCGTAACTGAGTTGGACCAGCGCTCGCTTGGCGAGGCCGGCAGCGACGAGAGACTTAGCAACCCATCGAGCAAGGTAGGCAGCAGATCGGTCGACCTTGGAGAAGTCCTTGCCGGAGAAAGCACCACCACCGTGGGCACCCCATCCACCGTAGGTGTCGACGATGATCTTTCGGCCGGTAACACCGGCGTCACCCTGAGGGCCACCAATGATGAAAAGACCACTGGGTTGGAGCTGTAATAATTGTTAGCATTGCGTACACAGAATCAAGGACTACAAACGGAATGGTCGGATCAGGGTTTCAAGACTTACGTGGAGAATAGTCTGGTCATCAATGTACTGCTTGGGGATGACAGCGTCGATGATCTTGGACTTCAGCTCCTTTCGGACCTGTTCCGTGTTGACATCGCCACTGTGTTGAGCAGAGATGACAACGGTGTGGACTCTTAGGGGAACGACAGCACCGCCATCGTGCTTGTACTCCATAGTGATTTGGGTCTTGGTGTCAGGTCGGAGCCAAGGGAGAGTTCCGTCCCGGCGAGCGTCAGACATGGCCTTGTTCAGCTTGTGAGCGAGAAGGTGGGAGAGAGGGTGTAATTCGGGGGTTTCGTTGGTGGCATAGCCAAACATGAGACCTTGGTCACCAGCGCCCAACTCCTCGAGGGCCTTCTCGTAGTGAAGACCCTGAGCGATATCGGGGGACTGTTGCTCAATGGCAACGAGGACGTTGCAGGTCTTGTAGTCGAAACCCTTATCGGAGGAGTCATATCCAATTTCCTTGATGGCATTTCGGATGACGGATTGGTAGTCAATGATGGCCTTGGTCGTGATCTCACCAAATACCATGATCATACCAGTCTTGGTAGCCGACTCACAGGCGACCTTAGAGAGGGGGTCTTGCGCCAAGCAGGCGTCTAGGACAGCATCGGAGACCTGATCACAGATCTTGTCGGGGTGACCTTCACCGACGGATTCAGACTGCAATTGATCAGCTTGCTGTTCCCGAACTTGCTAACGCCGAGAAGGAAACGCCATGCAATCCATACTTACGGTGAAAAGGAAAGCCCCGGCGTTTAGGGGGGTGCTCAAGGAACTAGCATGGCCGTTGGTAGCAGGCATTGTGACGGTAGAATGTGAGGTAAGAAAGTACGAGTTGATTAATTCTATGCACCCAAAGAAAATGCGTAGCCCAAGAGTGTCTCTCGGAAGAAGTAAAAAGTTGGGTTGGATGAGGGGGGAAGGAGAGGTTTATGAAGGGAAGAGCAGAAAGTGGGAGTTTTTCCTTTGGGGGTTTTGATTGGGCGAGAGAAAAAAAGTCGGAGGGGCAGGAACTGAAAATAACAACTCGAATGGCGCAATTTCCGTCGCTTGTCGCTTTCACTATACGCCGACTGTGTAGATTATGTTAGGAGGTAGACTTATGTACTAAGACATACTTTTACACTCTAGGCATGGTAAGCTGCGAAGCTAGTGGGTTAACCAAACCTAGCATTAGCAGCTCGCTCTTGTCCCTGAGCCGTGGATCATAGCGTCTGGACTGACTGCTGGTAGGAAGGAAAGAGTACCTACCTGAGTGGGGCAAGCCGAAGGAATTCTCTCAGAAGGAGTAAAAGAGGCGCAGATATTGTGTAACTAACTAACTATACTATACTATGTACTTACACCTACAAACATTATATTAGGTACAAGCACGGAGGAAGACTCGGAGTAACTTCACCAATACATCTTATTCAAATCACATAAAGTAACTCCATTTGGTAAAGTTAGTTGGCATTTTATTTTATTCAGCTAGGCATATATAGAAAACGTGAAAGTAACCATCTTATCGGATATCACTAACTTTTACATTTCTCCGTTCGGGCGTGCAGGCTTATCTTCCAACACACTCTTCGCGGTCCCGAGCACACGCGGTATCTACGTCAGGTTTGGGAACGATCTTTACCCAAGTAGACCGTCGAGTATAGAACGGGAGTGTTATACATAAGCTTCTCGTTCGCATCCTGTCAGCATACCTAGTATACATGGATTTCGTACCTAGTAACTGAGGAATATTCCTTTGAATTCGACAGAACTAGAGCTAAGAGCCTTCGTGGGTGAGCTAGTGATAAGTAGCAGTTATTAGGTTATCTACATGTAGCTAAGGTCATAGACTGTTAAGTACATATCCAACCCTCAGTCTAATGTCTAATATCTTGACAACTGATAAGATGTTTTTCCGACATCCGTAACCTCCGTCCTTCTTACTGCATTGCATGTACTACATACGCGGGGCAGTCCCATAGACTAAAGCTCATTCTCAATTATCCGTTACCATTGATCCATGACCCTTGGCTGCCACGTCTGCCCCTCTCGAAAACGTGCACTAGTTCAACCGATTGACAGGGGGCTTCAACTTCGGCACCTGTCTTCAAGTCTCAAAGGTCTATGCGACAAAATATCGGTCGAACACTTTCGGCGTTCGGCCGGCAAGGTTTATATTCATAGTGATATTCATAGTGTATAATAAAGTTCGGCTCATCATATATCCAATAGCTGCAAGGGCAGCTATTGCGTGCTATGTAGAGCACTAAGTCGACTTTACTAAGCAAAGGATTTTCAGCTCTCCTTCGCTTTATCTCTCGTACCTTGGATTCTACCTTGGATTCTACTTTGGATTCTACCTCAGAAGCAAGGTCCGCAACCGGTGGCCTTACAAGCTTGCTTACATGTATTGCATGTACATATCCCACCTTGTATGTATTCCTGTAGCATCTCGGGGAGTGTGGCATCTCAGCGCGGTACAGGGTGTAACATTTTGCCGGGAAGCGGTAAACTCCACTAGCATCGGAGCAGCCCATATTCCGGAATTTCAGAGTCGAATTCCGTCAAGGCGGTGAAAGACTGTAGTAGCAATATGTAGGTAATGCCTATCTCAAACGTCTATCAAATGTTTATTGTCTCTAAAGCTAAATGTGATACGTGATACTTGTGTATTTGCAAGAGGTATGTATTCATCCCATTATTTATGCAGTAAGAGAGGAAGCTTACGAGATAACTTAGGTAGGTACATACATACATAGGTATTGTACATAGGTACCTAGTCAGCTCTGCCCCCACTCTATATTTTGGACCCTTTGATTTCGATCCTTGCCCCTCCACTGTCTTAACCTTGCGACATGCAGTACTTATGTACCTACCTATGTATTGTATGTACCTAATCGTTTTACCCCACCATCTAGCAAAAATTCCTTGACTTGTTCACTTCACTATGTACGCCGCGGTCAAGACGAGGCTGAACACTTTCATACCAGGTCCACCCTTCCGTCATTCCCTAATTCGATCAACCGAATCCGCCCAGGCTGCGACGTAATCGTTTCATCTAGATATTAAACAAGTCTGGGTAATACATCATGAGTAAGTTCGGAGTTATGGTAATGGGCCCCGCCGGGGCTGGCAAGGTATGTGATGGTTTCTTCTTAGCGCCACTCGTAACCTTCCCTTACCATCGCGAAGCTTGTCGAGCTTGTCGAGCTTGTTGAGATGCTTGCTGAAGCTTTGCGTTGTCTGGGGCTCGGATGATGGATCGATATTAACGTTGCTGTCCAAAGTCTACCTTTTGCGCCTCCCTCATAACCCACCTACAACTTAACCGTCGCTCGTGTTTCTACGTCAACCTCGATCCTGCCGCCGAGTCCTTCGAACACACGCCAGATCTAGACATCAAAGATCTGATATCGCTCGAAGATGTCATGGAGGAGATGGGCCTTGGCCCAAATGGCGGTCTTATCTACTGCTTCGAATTCCTCATGGAAAACCTGGATTTCTTAACCGAGGCATTAGACTCCCTCACTGAGGAGTACCTAATCATTTTTGATATGCCTGGTCAAATCGAACTCTATACCCACGTTCCTATATTACCCGCCCTCGTCCGGTTCTTGACACGATCTGGTTCTCTTGACATACGGCTCTGTGCTGCCTATCTCCTGGAAGCTACTTTTATCGTGGATAGAGCCAAGTTCTTTGCTGGTACTCTAAGCGCCATGAGTGCCATGATCATGTTAGAGGTCCCTCATATCAATATTTTGTCAAAAATGGATCTTGTAAAAGATCAGGTCCGCAAGAAAGATATGAAACGATTCCTCACGCCAGATACTGGTCTACTGGATGATGATCCAGATGATATTGCTCGGCGAAAGGCAGAGGGTGTGACAGAAGAGGAGGACGAGGCGGCAAACCCCCAGGACAAGGATGCCGTTATGCGAGGCTCAAGCTTTAGACAGCTCAACCGGGCAGTCGCGAATCTAATCGAGAATTTTAGCATGGTTAGTTACCTAAAGCTAGATGTGCAAGATGAGGACAGCGTCGGGGCCATTCTCAGCTATATCGACGACTGCATCCAGTATCACGAAGCTCAAGAGCCCAAGGAATTAAAGGATGATGAGTTTGACAATATGGATGATGGTTTGGATGGATGATTTCTTAGCAGCAGACAAAAAGGATTTGACTGTAATTCAAAAAGGAATATGGCATAAGGATTAATGGATTAATCACAAGGGCAACGTTGGACACATGTAATTGCATAGCGACGGCGTACTGGTTTGAGGCAACTCAGATACCAAAAATTCGAGTACATTTGGCATATACTGTCATGCTGTTTATTCATTCTGTACAAAAAAAAAGAAGCAATTCGTAGTCATAACTCATTCCCAAACCGTGATAAGACATTAAACAACAAGATGCCCCAACCCCTTTTTATTTTCAGTCACACGAATAGCACTAACCCAGTCCCCAAATCATCACCAAGCACTATTTCTTGACCTGGTGTAACCTCCCGAAGGTGCTCCCCGGGTCCCAGCGGGGGCTCCACCGCGCTTGGTCTGAGCATCAAACTTCTGGTATTCGGACCACCAGATATCCTTGACGAGGGACGCGTAGCCAGCCATCTTGCTGACAAAGACAACCACGTCTCGGATCGTGGCTTCAGGGCCCCGACGCCAGACAAAGGCTATCAGGGCGAAGACCAGAGCCCAACCCATGAGCCGGAAAGCTAGACGTGTCACGTACATCATGGTGCGGTGGACGAACGACATGACCTGGATGACAAGCACGAAAGCAGCTAACACGAAGGCGAGGACGACTAGGTCGGGCGAGTCGTGTAGGGCTTGCACACCGCGCTGGACGAGGGGCGCAAGGACGGGCGATAGCGTTGCGGTTGCTTTTTGTGTGAGGGTGGTGGTTTGTTGCCATATGGCTCGGAGGGCAGTCTGCGGGTCCTGCATGTGGGCTTGGATGAGGGTGAGGGTCTGCTCGGGCAAGATGCCTGGGGAGGAGGAGGGGTTAGCGGCTTGTTTGGATGGATATTTAATTTAGGTAGGAGATGAAGGAGATGTGGAGTAAGTATATTATGTTAAATAATACGGATAACAAACAATACATATAGGATGGAGGGAAATGGAATGAATGAATAAATAAATAAATAAATGAATAGAGATGAAGTTATTCTGGATGTGAAACGCGGTGTGAATGAGCTACGTACCTTGTAAGGCGTCAAATAATGCGGAATCACCACCTCGGTCCATGGTTGATAGTGTGTATGTGTATGTATGTATATGTATTTCGTCTGGACTAGCCTTCTCTACCTAGGCAGTAAAAGGAATGTGATGGTGCGACACCGAAGTTATGTCGTGAAAGTAAATATCGATCGCAGAAGGAAAGACCTGAGCTGGGCTGGGTTCGTTTTCGCTGAGAGAATCGGGTCACCGCTAGATAGACCCCTAAAGCTATGTACTTTGATTTGAGAAAGCCAGAAGTGACAGGTACGAAGACGCTAACGGTGGCGAGGGATGAACAGAGCAAAGGTGAAGACGGCGTTGTTGGCCTGTGTATTCGATAGCAGGTCGTTATTGTTGTTGTTGTTGTTGTTGTTATGTGCGGGTGAATGAATAGGTGGGAAAATATAACACGTCGACTGGTTTATGGGAGAAAAAACAAGTTCACTGATGGTGGTGGTGTGCAACTCTTTCTCTCTCTCTTTTTTTTCTACTATGTATTATTTACTGACCCCAGGTCGACAAATGGGTTCACGCGATTGGTAATGGGCGGTGATGACGATAACTGGCGATAACTGGCAAAAAAGGTGGAGGGATTTTCGTACGTCAAGATATGATTGGCCGATATGCAGGTTCTAGAGCAAGGGATGATGTCTGTGCGCAGGGTTCCGTGTGGGTCTGCCTTTTTTTAAGGGGTCGCGCGATCTCGATTTTCACGTGCTGTGCTAACTTTCTCTTGCTTGTCATTTGTTATTCGGAGAATTTAAGTAACCATGTTGCCCTATTCGAGGGGAATATATATCGAAGAACAGTCGTGATGAGTTCCTCGCAATTTTATACATTCGATGAGGATCCAGGCAGGAAATGTCAGGGTTAAAGACCTAACATGCAATCTTGGATCCCTGAATGCATCGTCTGGTTCCTTCTGGGGCTCTCCACGGTCTCTGTCTACCATTCTGACCTATCAGACTCCCTGAGCGTTGGCCGGCGTTGGCCAGCGTTGGCCAGCATTGGCTTGCTTTAAGAAATCAGGCGTTATTGGCGACATGCCCGACTTCCTTTGCAGCATCATACGTGTAAAATATCCATTATTGAACATTTCCAATATCTTCATTTGATGCCTGAGTGGGACTCCGAGTTTGAGACCATAATTATTCGCGCCTTATTATAGTGCCGAATGCTGTTGATGGTGTTGGTTTAAGGCCCCATGACTCTCCACCTGGGCCACTCACGTTTGTCTATCACGTTCACAATATAGATTTCTGTTAGAGTTGTTATTCTAACTATGCGATCTGCGGGATATTTAGGTAGGTTAGAATACTATGAAATATTTCTAGTAAAAGAGGCACTTTTACTAAGTTGGATTTTTTTTATGTCGCTCTATTAAAATGTTAGAACTACTACAGGTTTATGCAGTGAATAATACACTATTAGTACTTTAGATTCTCCAGGCTTTATTCACTTGAAGTCTTTTGAGGGGTTGTGATTGACATACTAACTACAATTGCTTAACCTAGTTGAGAGTGTGGGTACAGTAATTACCTCGGCCAGATCTACTTATTGTCATGAATTTATTACTCCTCTCCCAAAGACATAAAAGTAGCTTAATAAGTTATAATGAGATATGGGAAAGTTAAGCTTGCCGTATATTAGATAAATACCACCTATTCTTACATGTCACTCCTGTATCATATTGAAGGGCAATCGACAAGTCAGACTAAGACAAGAGACATCATGACAGGCTTCCCTTTTCTTCTCTCAAAGTAACAAATTTCAAGACTTGAAAGCCTCTACGGTTGAATTAAAGTTGCTACGGAACCCTAGGTAGTTATATAATTAGTAGTTTAGATTAGGCAGGCTGGACAATATCCTACATAATAATAGCCTCCGTCTTTACTCTTTATTCTACAAGGGTTTGCCATCCTACAGAGCTCAAGAGTTACCAGGTAATAACTGGAACTAACAAGAAGTCTTAGTCCTCTTACTAAATTACACTAACAGTGACAAGATTCAGGCATGAGTTATTCTCTCCATTCACCTTAAGATCTAGTTAAACAACTATTTATAGCGTATAACTAGATACTTTCATACTGTACTACAATATCTGCCTCCTACCATGACCGTAGAAAAGCCCATATGCATCATGACCCTACCTATTCTTCTGAAGTATTAACTTAAGGGTATACAATTTTTAAAATATCTATCCTAGATACATCATCGTATCCATATATCCAACTAAATACGACCATGTCAGACATCTCTTTTCTCTTAGAATGGAGGTCATCCCAAGCACCCCTACACCCTCTCTCCTAACTAACACGCCCCCTGAGCGCCTCTCTTTTAGCTTAAATCCCCAACTGTCCATTCGACATAAAATGCGACCCTCCCGCACACCTATACCCATCTCCCTGCGGAATCCACTCATAACCCACCGGACACCTCCCCATCCTCCTCAGCTTCTCCTGAATCGCCTTCTCCTTCTTCACCCGCTCCTCCTGCTCCCGGCGCGCCCGCTCCGCCAGCTCGTGCCTCACACGCGCCTCCTCTAGCTTCCGTAGCTCCTCGCGGCGCTTCGCCTCGTCCCGCTCGCGCTGGGCTGCTTCCTCTTGCAAGCGCAGCTGCCGCGCGAGTTCCTCGGCTTCGCGCTTGGCTTGGGCGAGGTCTCGCTGGCGCTGCTCGAAAGCCGCTTTGTCGCGCTGCAGTTGCTCCCATACCGCGTCGGAGACGCCGGCATCGCGGATGCTGGCTTGGCCGTTCGAGGGGCCGTCTTTATCGTTCTTGGGGGGGTGGTCGTCGTCGTCTTTTTTCTCTGCGGCCGGGGGGGCTGTGTCTATCGCGGTCGCTGTTGAGATCTTTGGCGGTGGTGGGGGGTCCTGGAAGGCTTGCTGGATCGGCGGGGAGGGGAATGGGAAGGGGTTGGTGTGGGCGGTCTCGGCCCGCTTGGTGCGTTCGTCGAGCATGGCTTTGATGACGTCTATGACGATTTCCTCGGACACCATGCGGCTAGGATTGGGCGTTTTTGACTTCATGATCTTGGAGAAGATGGACTTGGCGAGTGTCTGTACGTCGCGAGCGTTACCCCAGGATGGTGTCTTCGCAAGTGCGCCGAATAGACCCAACAGCTTGCCGTCTAGTGTAGGCGATGCCTCTAGATCCTTTGTGTCTAACTTCCTTTTCTGTAGGCATTGCAACATAAGATCCCGGCAATGACGTGGTGGAAGGTTAAGGAAAGAGATTGTCTCTGGGAACCTGCTGGTCAAACCAGGGTTCTGGTTCATCAGCCGATTGATATCATTATCGTAGCCTGCAAGAACTATAGCGTTAAGAGTCAGCAATTGTAATTCATGGCAGTATTTAAAGTAGTTCAGAGCTGTAGTTTATATTCTACAGTGTCGAAATCTTGAAACTTGTCTTCGAGCATGTAATTTGGAAATCAGTGCAGCAAAGACGAGCACTCTGGGGTATACTTACTGACTACAAGTTTATTGCGGTAACGTTCCTTGGTCAGACAATCGACAATCTCGTCCATTGCTTCCTTGGCAAAGTGACCTTCGGCAAGCCTGTAGGCCTCATCGATGAAGAGTACTCTTCCCAGGGCTTCGTCGAACTTCTTCTGGACTTTGGGTCCGGTGTGGCCAACGTATTGGCCGATTAGATCTGTCGCCGAGCAGTCCACCACAGTAGCATTCGCGAGGAACCCCATGTCATAGTATACCTTACCCATCTTTCTCGCCGTCGTAGTCTTGCCGGTTCCTGTCATGGATTAGAAATAGTTAATACCTGTCGGGGAAGGTGATTACCTGGAGGTCCACGAAAGAGAAACCCGAAGGGGATTTGAGAACAGGGGTCCATATCCATAGCTTTCATGTTCTGGACAACTTGCTGGTAGCCTTCTAATTGCTCGACGATCTCTTCGCACCCAATAACATCCTTGAATAGCATACGGATATTAGTTCCGGCACGCTCGCTTCTGTCGAACTCGGGGTCAATGTCCGCAGGAATTAGGACGTCGGTGTTCTTCTTTTGAGGGGACATCGACAGACGTTTCTGTTGACTATCTTTAGCCCGATCGAGGATGATATCGACTTCGCCCGCATTGCCAAAGTTGGGTCTATTGCGCGCACGTCGGAGGACGTCGCTAAAAACCCTCTTTGCAGGTTCTCCGGCCCTGAATCCCTGTTGTTTCAATTTAAGATCGAGGATCTGCCGAAGTTCACCATCATCATAGTCTTCGAAGTTGAAGCCGGAAGACATGGGGAACCGTCGTGTTAAACCCGGATTGACTTTTTGGAACATATCTTCCATCATCTCCTTGTAACCGAGTAGCAAGACACATCTATCTTCGAGTGCGGTACTTTGGACTTCGGCCACGATGGTATCTACGACTGCTGTCTTATATGGATCACTGGTGCCCCCTGAATCTGAACTCCCACCAGCAAGCATGTAGGCTTCGTCGATAATGAGAACCTTCCCTTTTGTAGACTCAAGAATGGCTTTTGTGTTCTTCTCAGATTGACCAAGGTGCGCGCCGACAAAGTCTGATGGGTTTTTAATAATGACTTCACCGTTGCTCAAGAGACCTAGGGCCTTCAATATCTTGCCGTAGAGCTTCGCGACTGTTGTCTTTCCAGTTCCAGGATTCCCGAAAAAGACTTTATTCAAAGAGCATTCGACAGGGGGTTGCTCTTTCATCTCTCGCTCGTAATTCGTCTGTAGGCGGTCGACGAGAACCATGACTGACTGCTTGACCGAACCTAGCCCGATCATGCTTTGGAGTTTCTGCCAGTCTTTATTACTAGAAAATTGCTTGCTCGGTTCTGGACCGATGAGATCAATTTTCTGGATCAACATGTCGTTCGGTCGGGTCCCCTGACGCCTCTCATGGTGTAGACGGTCTGCTTGTCTTCTGAGGATAATTGTCAGTACGTTTTCTACCTGCCGGGCGTTGCCAAATCCCTCTCTCCCTCGACCGCGACCAATACGCCGCGCCGCAACCCGCATATACAACCCTTCAGATCCACCTTCGACTTGCATGCGGCCGTTGTACTTCTTCATCAGCTGGTAGTTCATGATTTTTAGAAGTTCGTCATCTTCGTAATCCTCGAAACTCATCTCAATAGGGATACGGCTAGGAATGCCTGGATTGTGGGCAAAAAACCCCTCCATCTGTTTTCGGTAGCCGGCGAAGACGAATACAATCTTGCCCGTGAGGTTCTCTATCTCTGCGAGAAGGAAGTCAAGCACCTGAGCGCCACCCAAAGAGCTCCCAGACACAATTTGGTATGCCTCGTCCAGGAAAAAAACGCCACCCCCCTTTTCAAGGATCTTATCTATCAGCGCCTGGCAGCCTTGTATCCCGTCATTAGCCAATCTTGAGCCGGTAGTCTCCTCAAAGTGGTCACCGGGAATCGCCCCGACGGAAGATAGGAACTTGGCGTATAATCTGGCAACTGTTGTTTTGCCTGTCCCAGGATTCCCTAGCAAGGCGGCCCCGAACCTTTCATTTTTTGTGTCTACCCCCTGGCGAACGGCAGTATCGATCCTTGC